AAAGTCTTCTATATTACATAGATAATATATTGGAGGAAATAGAATGACCACACATTATGTATATAAATCAGTTATCTCCCTTACACCATACATAACATTTCAAGAAATAAAAACTCACATTTTCAGTGATTGATTATAAAAATACAGAAGATTTGTGAAGTAATATATTAGCCCTCCGTCTTGAGGAAAATATAAGTAGAAGCAATTTGATAATTTCTCACAGTAACATTTAAAAGTTTAAAACCTGATAAAAGATGTTTTGTTTGGTTTAGGTATTTTTCTGCATAATTGTAGCCAGTTTCTGTTAATTTCTTATGTAAAAGAAATATAAATTATATGCATCTATATTTTCTAAATTATTCACCCTTATGTATAAGATGGGAATGAGCATCACTTCACTTGAAATTTCAGTGCCTATAAGGGATGTTAAACATATATGCCTTTTGACTGTCCTTGGACCTATGGGTCACTGCCTCCATAAATTTGTCCAAGGTAAGGTCATGAAACTTTTGCTGCTCATTTTCCTCATTGCTACTTTTGTCTCCTTTACTTCCTTTATCATAAGCTACATCTCCCTTTAGATACACACCTTCCTCATGTTTTAACTCCATTTGACTCACTATACTTATTGTTTATCTTTGGCATTTTCCTATATTATATTCCCCATATTTTACCCCCAATGCAGCATAACCAATTAGAGGTTGTGAATATACTATATTTGGTGATAGAATGGCTTATTGCATTAATTTTATTCACTGCACAAAGGAGGGAAGGTTTCAATTTGTATTACAAAGAGGATGGGTAGGTTGACCTTTGTATGAGGACTGGAGGTTAGTGACCTAATATATCTGCAAACAGTATCAAGTGTTGATTGCTTATACTTTATAATAAGATTGGGTCATGTCCACCTGTCTCTGGTGTTAAGATCTGCATCTATCACACAAAGATAAAGTCCTTTAGTTTGGGTGAATTTTACTTTCTGAAGTAGAAGAGGTCTGTACTGTTTGGCACATTGACCTTTGACCTAATTATTACGTAATATGATATAGTGTGATTTATTCCATATCACCTATGTGAAGTTCAGTAAGTGTTGATGTGAATAAAACACAACTCATAGTTAAACAAGTCATTTTATTCCAAAAATATAGTTTGTTAGTCAAGCACAAATATGAAAACAGCATCTGAAAAAGTTCAAAGACAATTACATACACATTAATATAAATCACAGCTAAGGTACCTCATAAAATTGTTTCTGACAAGCGAGACTAAGTACACTTGTTACTTGTACAGCCCCAATCTATATCACAGGTTATTGAAAAAATTAAGGTTGGCTATAAACACAAATGGTGTTTGTCTACTAATGAAGTGCAAATGCATGTCATTAGCATTAAGTTATGTACAAAGTAGTTTTATGCCAGTTTATATGTGACATATATGAAAGAAATATGTCATTCAAAACATTGCAAATAGGTAATTATGCATTTTTAGGCATTGTTTATATTTTACAATATGAATAGGCAGTCATCTGTCCTTGTAACAGCTATTTAGCGCTATATAAAATATAGCTATATAATAGCTATTTAGCGCCATATAAAAGGTTACATCTTTCATTATTTAAAAGTGGTAAAAGTTTTGTACCGAACAGCGATAAAAAAACAAATAGTTAAAGGCAAAACGATAAAAATGGTAACGGTGATAAATTAATAAAGTTTCCTATCAACAGGGAGTGCATATATCACATAAAATTGTTCAAGGTGATGACATAAAAGTTATAACTTATGATAAATGTTTACTTCCTTCAGATGTTTGTTTCCTATTTCACTGGTTTTAAATTAGTTTTGGCAGTTTTTTTTAATAAAAATTGATAAACATATATAAATCAAATATTTCCAGCTCAGATACTCAAATCAATTTCGGCCAAACATTTGTTTTTATACCATTGGGGAAAAAGTCGAGGGTCAGCAGTGGCAAGCAGAGACATTCCTCATACTGGAAAAAGATATTTGTTATTATATTTTTTTATTTGCCTAATCAAATATATGACTTGACTTCATACAGATAAAGCTTCACAGCACACATTACACCAGTTTTTACTCGCAATTCAAGAACAATAACTCTAAGTGTACGCATGCGCACTTTGAAACTGTTTATCAGTTTCTGGATGGTGAGAAAGTAGTTTTACCATAGAAGCAGAAATGGAGGTTACCATTTGTGCCATTGTGACAGGTATATTTAGAAACTTCATCTATTTACCTGTGAATTAATGTGTATTTTTGAGAAAAGATGCAGGTTACGTCCATTTCATTATGGTCTTTAGTCATTTAATATTCAAATTGTGTCTGTAAAGTAAGGTGAAGTTTCAGTTCATCAGTCAAACTAAATACTCTTTTCATTCCTTTCTGATTCTCATTAGATTTTGGAAAGTTCATCAATTCACTAATCAAGATACTGGTTTCTTGTAACATGAACAAACTAAGATCGGAAGATATTTTTAAGTCGGTGATGATTACATTTATCAGATATGATTAAAGTGAGCAGGATGCAGTAATCTTGTATGGAAAATGAATGTAGGACAGAACAACATATACCCATAATTATGATTTTGTTGTTCAATACACATAAAACAATCTTGATGTAATCATTGTTCTTCTTTTTTTGACTTTAACATCATTTTTCAATGCATGGTAGATTATACACAGTGATCAGTATAACTGGTGGCAAAAGAGCCTGGAAAAGTCACAGTAAAAACCATTTACCCACAGGAAGCTTAGTCAGGCTTTCTCAAATATCCACCTAACTGAACACATAGATAATGTAATAATAATAATAATAATAATAATAATAATAATAATAATAATAATAATAACAATAATAATAATTATTATGATATTCAGTGCATGGTATTTACTAATAGGTTTTAAAAAGAAACCTGTGCACAGTGGTCATCCCATGTTCAATGATTTTTTTTGCCTTTTCCCATGAGTAGCCGCTGGTAAGCAATACGATTGTACTTTTATCTTTTCAAATTTTTTTGGCCTTTCAATTTTTTCAAATTGATTTTTTTGTTTTTTGTAAGACATCCAACAATTCCTGAAATGTTAAGATTATGGATTGCCTGGAAGAGACTCTTTTCAGTTGAAAGGGTCACTGAAAAATAGAATTTGCATAGATTATTAAGTTTCCTTTTTATAAGTCTTTTTAAATGATTATATTGAGACAACATAATTATGTACTTCTAGCAATGACTTGCTGATAGTTATTTTTAAAAAATATTTCTAAATGAAAGCTCAGGAGATTGGTTGAAATTTTGGGCAACTTAGAGTCAGTAATTTTGATTAACTGTAGTAGAACTTATTTCTGAACTTGAACAGCAAGGTTGTGGATACTACTGTATATGCTCACTTCTAAGTTGATTCCAACTACAAATTTCATAGACCATGATCTGGGTCTATGTAGTTTGTTAGGAGTAGTCAAATTGCAGAGACTATGATCTGGGTCTATGTAATTTGTTAGGAGTATTCCAATTGCAGAGACCATGATCTGGGTCTATGTAGTTTGTTAGGAGTAGTCAGTTGAACAATCAATGTAAACCCTGAACAGCTGGTGCATTATGTGATGTCAGATTAGCATCTGTGGTGTTGGACTGGACTTAGAAGCAAGTATATATGATGTTTAGTTGTTAGAGACATTATCATTTTGTCAGGTGCTGCTGTATGACTTTATGTCTCTGTTGCTTACATAAATGGCATCTTGATTTGGTCCTCTCCATCCATGCATTTTAAGTAGAAAAATAATGTAAGAAAATTTTCACAAAAACTATAAATTTTCACAAAAAATAAATTTAATTTGTTAGCATATCTGTATGCATTGAATTTTCTGATTTTAACTGTCACAGACCAGAAGAGTTCATGAAATGGCCTGTTATTTCTTGTCCATCTATCCATTAGTTTATGTTTTTATCACCACTTTTATAAAATCACTTGGAGAAATACTGTGAGACTTGAGATACACATTCATTCCAAGATTTTGTTGGTCTTTTATGATAATAGTGAATTGATGATACTTGGATGTCCAGTATGATCACCATCACTACAGTGATGCATTTGAACATTCTTCTTGATTTTACCATTTATGAATGGATGGTCATATCAACCTCAAATTTTCACTAAAAGACTTCTTACTATGATGTCAAAATAGTCCTAAATGAAAAAGTGCTAATCTGACATCCAGTAATGCCACAACGGCAGACATCTTAAAAGCTGTTAAAGCTACTCCTCCCAAATGGAAAATCATATCACTATTGGGCATTAATGGTGCCTATCTGGCATATTCTCCAAACTTGTAATTGCTACTCCCCCCCCAAATGGATGACCATGTTTGTATTGGGTTGTAGTGGAGATGAATGTTTTTACTGGGTACAATCACACCCAGTGAGAGTATAATGTAGTGTTTTAATTAAAAAAGCTGTAATAACAAGAACCTAATGATCAACATATACTTCTCACATTTCAAAACATTTCATAATAACAAAATATTCATTCAAATCATGTCCTCATTTCATACTTGTGAAAAGCATTTTGTTGTAAGGATGTAGCCCAAACTATGGCACACATACCTTTACTTTATGTATAGTATGTTAGCATATGTTTGCATTACACTTGCAATCAAATATATGCCTTTATCTTATTGTTTTTATAAACAATTAAATATATATATATATAGACACACACACATATACTCTTTTATTTCATTGTTTGGAAGTGATGTGATGTGATTATGATTTTTAATGTAGCTTTAAATAATTTTCAGTCATATCATAATGATGTCTGCAGTGTGGCAGTTTACAGTGATGTCTAGCACTGGGACATCATGCCTCAGACATGTAACATGATGTAAAACCCAGTCACATTATCCTGACACCAGGCCAACTAGTCCTAACACTAACCTGTTAATGCTGAGTGCCAAGCACGGCAGCTGTTAGTACCATATTTGTAAGTCTTTGGTATGTCTCAACTGGAATCGAACCCACAACCTCCCACATCTGAGGCAAATGCTCTAACCACTAGGCCACCAGACCAGGTTGTTTGGAAGTATTGGTGTCTCTGAGTGAATGTTGGCAAAAGAGATTAAATGCTTGATGAAATCAATAAAATCCATGCACACTCAGAAAGCATGTATTTAGATGAGTTAAGTTTTTTTTTCAATTAAATGTTTGCTTTCCAGCAAAAAAAATGAATTCAGTTAGATGGTAATATATCATCACCAGTATTTCATTGTAGTTTGTTTTTTAGAAATTCAAGCTCTGAAGGTCAAGGTCACAGAGACTGAAAGAAGGAAAATGGTTCCCACAACATTTTTACTTGCATACTAGATGCCTTAACAGAATTTAGTCAGTGACTGGCATTTGAGTTTAGAAAATCACCCATTGATTTGGGGGTCAAATGTCAAAGTCAGAGTGACAGTATAAAAGACAAATTGTTTCTGCATGATACACTAAATTCTTTGTCATCTTCTTTGAGCAAACTTTGCATTTGAAACAAGGAAGGCACCTATTTAATTTTGGTTTGAAGGTCAAAGGTAAAAAGGTCAGAAGGGCTTCAGAAAGGAAAATGGTTTCCAGTCTGTGCGATAAACCATGACCAAACTTTGTGCATGACTTGCATTTAAGTCAAGAAATTACCATCTAGTTAGTCCTAAATGAAAATGGTGCTGCTAGTATCCAGCTTGAAAATCTTATTATTGCTACTCACTAGGTACGAGGCAATATAGTGCTCTGCATGAGATGGACATTTGGTTCCCCCATCCCATCATTATAATATTTGATGATAAGAGAGTTACTTTCTTAAAATTATCTAGGTTATGACCAAATAAACGATCTTTTTATAAGAAAAAAACAAAGGTTTTGTATCATTTTAGCTCTTTTGTCTGATTTTTATGTTTCTATTCTGATTTGGCTCTCCTGTGAAAATGATGCAAGCACAGTGCTCACACACATAGCTTGCACTGGCCTTGCTACTCCTGTCCAATCGATATTTACATTAACATGGGGTTTTCATTAAAAGACTTCTTATAATGAGGAATTGTTCCACATTGAAATTGATTTTTCATCCAATAAGGCAGCTAAGACAGTCATCTTGTTATCACCACTCCTGAATGGAAAGTCATTTTGACATGGTGTTTGTACCATATGATAATGCCCAGTTGTCCTCAGTAAAAATGGTGTGATTCAAACTTCCAATATGGTCACCATGGCAGCCACTTGAAAATCTTGTTACTGTTGCTGCTTGTGAACAGAATGTTATATGAGCATACAGTTTTCACCAGAAGATTCTCAGGAAGTGTGAATTAGTCCTAAATGAAAATGGTACCACTTAGGCATCCAGTATGGCTGAAACAGAACCATCTTAATCTTGTTATCATTACTTTTTTTGAATGGATGGTCAAATCATCAAGGGTTTTTTGATCAAAGTTTTCTAATGGTATTTAGTTTGACCTTCATGCCCAGCAGACTTTGGATTATGGCTGACACAATATTAAAGAATATTCTCACCAATCATTTTGAGGTTGTTCCAGTAAAATATACTTGGGACACAATGGATGCAGTTTACAGTTTTTGTATAGTTTTCATATAAACTGTTTGGCATATATCTGTGAAAACAAAAGAACCTTCTCTGGGTCCCATGTATGCCTTAATGGAATAGCCCAGAATGGATGATCATATTGGAATAGGATTTATGGGTACCATGTATATTTAAAAGGAACAGCCCAGAATGGATGGTCATATTGGAATAGGATTTATGGGTACCATGTATTTTTAAAAGGAACAGCCCAGAATGGATGATCATATTGGAATAGGATTTATGGGTACTATGTATTTTTAAAAGGAACAGCGCAGAATGGATGGTCATATTGGAATAGGATTTCTGATACTATGTATTTTTAAAAGGAACAGCCCAGAATGGATGGTCATATTGGAATAGGATTTTTACCAAAATCTGATGGTGCCTAGTTTGTTCTAAATGACCATTGTGCTGATCTTACATCCAGTGCGGCTGCCTCAGTAGCTGATAAAATGATAAAATCTAATCACTCAGGAATAGTATATAATACGGTTTCAGTTTAAAAATTGTTTTGAATTTTTTTATCTAAATTACTTTCAGCTAATAGTATAAAATCTCATATTCAGTTTTATATTAATAATTAAATAAATATTAACACCCTGGATGTAGTGGTTAAATAATTGATTAATAAAATTTGCATGTGGTAAATTTGCTAGATTAATACTTTTAGTACTTGTAATATTTATTAAGATTTTTTGGTTTTTCCTTTTGCATCCAGAATGGTTTTGACTATTCATGACTTGTTTGTTCTAACATCCTAATAAAGTTTGACACTGTTTTACATTTTGTATGCATATACATTTTGATGAAAACAATTCATGCATATCACTACTTGGTTGATGTAACCTAGTTTTCATACATTTGATTGTATTTTCAGCTGTCCATTTATTCTTACAGCCCCAATATCTTGGATGTTTTTTCACCTGCACTAATAGGTATGTGATTGCATCTAAAATGAAGGAACTGAAAATTTCCAAACCTATGTCAGTGTGATGTTATTCATTCTTGAGTGACATTTTAATTTGTTTGTAGCAAACCTTTCATCACACCCTAATCATTATGGACCTTGTTTCACCTACACATCAAAATTGATTGGTAGATGTGTCTACACAAGTAATTCCTCCATTCCAAAATTAGGTCAATGTGACCTGATTTTTATGCTCAGCTGACATTTTGTATTTCTAGCTGCCTGTTTGTTTGCTTTCAATATCAAGGACCTTATTTTATATATATGCTTGAAAATTTATGTATATACATCTTGACAAAACTGACCGCTTTAGTGGATTAGAGCATCCACCTTGGATGCAGAAGGTCACAGGTTGAAACCCCAGCTGAGTCTAACAGTTGTCTCCCTAGGCACTCAGCATAAAGAGGTTATTGTTAAGACTGGTCAGCTTCATGTCAGACTAATGTGACTGGGTGGGATATCATGCTACATGTCTGCAGCATAATGCCCCAATGCTAGACATCACCATAAACTGCCATGGTACAGACATCGTAACGATATGTCTGAAAGATTGTTAAAGCGATGTTAAAAATCGAAATCATGCACTCACACACACTTGACAATACTACATCTTGGCCAGTGTTTGCCATTTTTAATTTACTGTAAGAAAAATCATTTCTGAAGAATAACATAAGTTCTACATCACTGATATGGCCCAAGCTTTCTGGATGGCTTACTCCTGGTGTAAGAAACGAGGCTGTTGATTTTGAGCCAATAGTTCAAAGTCAGTTGGTTTCTGCATGCAAATTGCAGTTTTCTTTATAGAAGACTATTAAACACCAGGCAGGCATATAATCTGCAAATGACAGTATTCATTACTTTGTTTTGAGAGTAAATGGCTTTCGGAGTATTACATAATGCCTGTAAGAGAGATACACTGTAGAGTTGATCTTGTTAACATGGTAAACAGCTTGATATGTATGTATTTAGATAAAAAAGGAATATTTTTGTTTCATTAATATATGAAACAGAAAAATGTTTCAGTCAGATATTGTCATTGTGATAATAATTATTCAGTCAGATATTGTCATTGTTATAGTAAATATTCAGTGTTATATTTATTTAAAGGAGTGCCTGATTTTGTTGAAAAGCTTCATGTAGCAGCCAAAAATCTTCATAAGCAGACAGGATGCTCCTCTCAGCCACAGGTCTCATCTTCATCAGTTGCCACTGAGCAGTCTGACTACAACAACACTAGCAACAGTTTTCAACAGCAACAGTATTACTAAACTCACCAGTGATCTTAAAGCTTAGAAACTGGGGGTGGGGTTATAATCTGTGTAATTTGACTGTCATCTCAGAAATTCCTGATGAGAAATAGTTTCTGCCAAGATGCAGTTAGAGGAGCAGTTAAAAATATATTTTTATCATTTCTATTAGTAATCTTTGAATGTACACAAACACATAGATTCTCTTTATTTAGCATTTTATAAGAGTTAGGCTGAATGATTTCTGATGTTCAACAACAAGTCAAACTGACAAACACAATGGTTTGAATAGTGAAAGTATATCAGAAGTCCTTTGCTTTTTTTCAGTCAAAAGATTTTGGTTTGTCATCTTAATATCTGCTTGCTCATTTGCATTGAGATCCATATGAAATTCATAAAGGATTCATTTGTTTGGTTAGATGTTTTATGGCACAGCTGCACATGTAAGTTATGGCAGAATTCAAACCTGAACCCTTTCAGTCACAAATCTGGTGCACTAACCACTGAACTACTACTGTAACAGCTCTGAAAGACTTCGTTACCTGCAGAAATCTGTTGATTTTTAGTCAGATTACATCACCAGCTGCCAACTAGGCAGGAATCTGTTGATTTCTACAGTCAGATTACATCACCAGCTACCAACTATGCAGTTCAGCAGGATGGTATCCATTTTACAGTTTGAGAACAATTGTTTTTATTTAGACCTGATTTTTAGTTTTATATTTTAAAAAAGAGAAAGTCCACATACTGACATTAAAACACATACTTTTTTATCCTTTTTAAATGAGTATTATTTTTGGGTGCTTTAATTTTATTTTGATCTAACAAATTTTAAAAAGACAACAGTTACATTCTTATTTTTTCAAAGAATGTATAGTCTCTTTTAATGGTGATCTGCCATCAAATATGGATGCCATTATTAAAATTTAAAAATATTTTATCAACTTCTCCAAAATTATTCCAAACAATTTGATCAAATTTGACATTAAAAAAAACTCTTTGCATTAAGACCTTTTAGTTCTGTGCAAACAATGTCAATCACTTCAAATATAGCCACCACAACTAAAAATAGAATAAATGACTTCTCCAAAATCACTTAATAGAATCTGACTAATCGTAGCATAGCCTGGCATGAAGACCTTTCAGGTTGGTGCAAACGATGCCATTCAGCCTCCCTTACTAAAACTTTACAAATTTTAAAAAGAAAATATACTTAATAAATCTTTCCAAATTTGAGAGTATG